AACTAAAGTGTACCGCTAGGTTCCATAAGTAATTCTTCATAGAAGATTGATACCGGTGATAACGAGGATTAGACGTGGACTGTGATGCTGAGACTATGAGAAATCGTTTGCTACAACGACAAATCTTGTAAACGGCTGAGCAACTCCGAAACCACTGTGCCATTTGTCGCATGGCTCGCCGCGCGCGGCCCGTCTGGCACAATCTCACCTGCTCGCGATAGGGTCGCCCATCTCCCTCAATGCGGTGCTAACCAGGTAGCTAGGTTTCCAATTCAAGAAAATAAAGACAAGGAACTGAATGACACTCGTTGCCATGCAAAAAAAACAGGTTTCCGTGCTTACACAACACATTGAAAAGAACTTTTATGGTATAAATTTGAAGCAAACAAAAACAGCTATTTCGGTGGAAGCACTTCTGCGAAAGTGTGAGAATCACATCAGATGCAGCTGCGACTGGAGGCACAGGCAAAGGCGCCGTCATACGTACAATCGATTGAGCGACAAAATTCGATGCTCAAATGTCTTGGACATTCAAAAATCCTAGCACTAAACAAGTCTGTAACGTTTGTTCCCATCGATCACTGCGCGTGGCGATTGGAACGAGGCCTACTCGCCTAGGCAACCGCGCTAAAATGCGACTAGATGTTTGAATATGACAAGATCAGTACCTTTCCGAAGCTTGGCCTCGCATCTCGAATTCTTCGATCTTTTTTCTGGGTGGACAGTCCATCAAAATACATTTATGAACTTTGCTTACGAAACTGGTACTGAAGGTTCGCATGGCTTGAGCAAAAATGGGAGGGAACGGCCCCACCTCTGACACGAGCCCCTCCCCCATTTCGTCCTACCTACAGCTTTCCTGTATTTTCCATTTCCTACCAGTTTTTCCGGGATTTCCCGAAATTTTTCTAATTTTCCCCAAAATTTCGCTGTCGACCTGTGGGGTCGAGTGGCGGTGGAAGGGGAGAGGTCGTTTGCCATCAACCACTAGTCTTAGTAACAGAAATAGGTTGCTAAGAACTACTTTCGTCGGCCCCACACACTAGTGGGGAGGACGAACAAGATGCAACCCCTCCCTCCCCCACCCTCACCCCTTGGTACGGAGGTTCCCAATGAAGGACGTGCTCTGTTCTAGACAGCACTCAAGGTGCACAGCAAAGTTTGAAGCAAGCTTGAACTTGAAAAATGGCCTTGATTTCGCGTCAGAAGCGTGTTTTCCGACCGAGCGAGGGTATCGTTCATACTTAGGCGCAATTTTGTTTACAGCGAAAAAATTGGACGCGCGATGAGAACAAGCGCTGTACATCGACCCTAAAGAAAAACCTCCAAAACTAGAACGTAGGCAATATGTAAATTTACAAAAGCACAGGAATTTCATGAGAGGGTTTTCCTGAGTAAGCAATTGGAAATTAATTATCAAACTCAAGAAAAGAGATCATTCACAAGCAGTGGCTAACTTTAGTAAGGGCGTGGACCAGAAATGGCGTCTGTCAGAAAGCTTACATTTGCTGTCTGATGAAAGAAGCCGGGCTTTGAATCTGCACCAAACACGCCCCAAGTGAGCGATACCTTGATTGTGAACAAAATGACTAAACAGTGAAGGAAGACCATAAAAGTGAAGAGACAAGAAAGGCTAAATCATTGAGGTCTATCACAAGATGATCCTTGCTGGATCGAGCAAGGCACAGGGAAAAGTCATCGTTTTGGCAGGCGGTTTTGAGATACACTTGAGCGAGATGCCGTCGTCGATGACAGCCTTTGTCAACATTCGTCGTCACTGTCAAGACGTCGGGCGATTCGCTGGCAGCAAAGCGCTTCTAGCCGCGCTATACCGTCTTCACGTCCGCACCTTTCCTGGTCGATTTGCCATTGTTGGAGTAACAAGTTGGCGTAAACCGGTTGTACGAAGTAACTGAAATGAAGGGTAAACTGCTCTGCATTATCTACTTCTTGGGATGAGCTGCGTATGTGATTTCCTTAGTGACATTCAAATTCACTAGCTTACTCGGGAAGTGGGGGGAGGGGAGGGGGGGGGGCAGCAAGGGCACTTGGCTCATGGAGCATAACCCTAACATTTATTTCGCAATGGAGAAAATACGTAATGCGGAGACAATTATTTGGGACCCTGATCCCAGCCCCACTACATATATGCAGAATTATGTCGAATTGAGCGCGTGGAATCACGGGGCGCCTAGCAATAAGCTTGACTGTCAGGGTCGAGCCATGGAAAATAAATCTGCTCGCGTGCAAGTCAACCCTCGAAATTGCGCAGCTCTCTCAGGATGAGGGAATTGCTGTAATCCGTCCTGAGCTCGAGTGCTACAATAGATGGCTTCACCTCCTCGCAACGCTGAGGGCCTGCTCCTACACATAGGAGAAACATCACAGAAGTGCTCTGGATCTTTCGAGAATCCTGTCACCTCTAGTGAAGTAAACTTTGATGGTTCCATATTTGGCAGCAAAGGCGATGTGGTATTCATCAGTGACACTTCTGACGCCTCCCTAGTTGTCCCGCCTCCAGAAGTCAAGGTCTATTTCTGTCACGAACTCACTTTTTACACCGTATTTTGCTTTTCTTTTTTTCTTGCTGCTAGGTGGATTAGCATTAGATGACGCGAAGAAACGCTGAATGAATCAAAGGCGGCAGGATGCCGCTTTGCTGGCATAAAACGAGCAAGTTCGGATTTACTTGTTTAGAGAGCTGCCAGGGGGTCCATAGGGTGTTTTGCATAGTTTCTTCCCTAAATCCTTCTCAATCTCTCAGATAATGGCACAGTAACATACCTTTGCATGTAGGCGGTATCAGCTGTGGGGAATATCAAACGAAAGTTGCCACGCCTCGTATATTCATCTGCAATAGTTCACGATGAGAAAAAGAATCAGTTGACTAGCGAAATATTCGAGGAAAATAAAAAAAAACATAAAAGAAACATGCCTTCGAACTCAACAAGGTGCGGAGATCTTCCCGAGTTAACCTCTTCAGTATTCGGCGATTCAAACGACCTTCGTCCAGAAATGCCGCTGTCCACATTGTCTCTTTCTGAATAGGAACAGTTACTTATGACTTTAACGGATGACCTTTTCGAAGGTAATAGAACCTAAGTAGAACACGGCGAAGATTAGAAGGAACGTCTACTGAGGGCGAGTACACCGAGCAATTACCTGTACGTGCTCCTCCTCTTTCGGCCAGTTACGCGGTTTTGTACTGTAATCGGCTGTGGCCAAGTTTTCCATACTGAAACACTAGCGTGACGGAACGCAAGGCAAGAGGGACAGGCTCTCTGGCAGAACTTCTATGCGAGAAAACAACGAGGCTACTGGTTCAAAATCAGTCCCGAAATTCAGAACCCCTCTCGGACTCTCCGAAAAAAAACAAAGAAATACAAAAAAGAATATCGAAATACCTAGGTGGTACACAGATTCCAGCCATATTGAGAACATCTTTCGCCAACGGCGCTTTAACGGAGACATCAAGTGGAGTCCCGGAATGTAGAGAAGGAGAAATGTTGACCTGGAAAAAAAATCATCATTTCAACTCACCTAGTATGAACAGAGATGAAAAACGGATGGGAATATCACCCTGGAAGGCCTCTAATCTATGATACTTCGAGAAAACAAGAATTTGCTGCGCCAGAATGAGTTAACTTGATTTCTTTTTTTGCAGGCAGTGATTTCCTTGGGTTGTCCCCTCAGCTCTGACCCCTTTTTGTGCGAATGCATCTGGCAATTTTGTCGGAAACTATTCTCCAATTACTCTATGGTATGTTTAGACTGTTTGTAATTTTGTGCCTTTCAGAATTAGGCAGGAAAGATTACTCAGTGGCCTAACTTCTGATCTTATTCAGAGACTCAAACTGCTCTCCAGGCGCTGAACACTATCCCATCAAGGACCGTATTTAAATTGTTGACAAGCCGAGCTAGTTCTCTTCCTCTGACCGCGCGTTCGCAGAGTACTTTGGTATCGACGCAAGTGCTGCACTTTGTGGATAGCGCGATCGGAATAAGGAAACGGCACCCAACTATCGCCACCTTCCAGTTCCGTTTCCTGAACACTTGAGCTGTGAAAGTGACACGCTACTGCAACTGCGGACCCATTCATTTTGCACAAGGCAAAGACCGTCCTCGGGTCCCGTCCTTTTTCCTGTTTCACTGGTGCTATACACCTCCAATTCTTGAAATTTCGGAAAAACTGGCAGGAAGCTGCGAACTTGTAGGGAAGTGGTAGGTGGGTACTGGGGAAGAGGTAGGTCGCACCGCGACCCTCTTTCAGGTAGGGGTCGTACCGAGACCCTCCTCCGGGAGAGGGGTCGTACTGACATCCACCAATTCACATATCACGATTCTGTTCCCTGATTACAGTGCTGATGAAGCCTGCTCCTACACCCATCAAATGTGCACAATCTTCACCGTTTTCAGTTGTGTCCCTAGCCGACCCCTGCACTTGAGCTCGCTGTTTCCTTGCTGTTCTGCCATGCAATATGGGACAAGGGACTTGACGGAGCTCATCGAACTAAGCCACCAGCTACCACATTACTCATTTTGGATCAGAAAGACGAATGAGAGAACAAGAAGAAAGTCGTCAAGAGAGAATTGAAATCCTATCAGGACTTGGATGAAATCCAGTGCGTTTTGCCAGTTCTTGAATACTTTTAGGATGTGAAAAAAATTAAAGAGGCTTTATTTTGATGGTCTAGTATATGTGGATGTGGCCGTCGGAAGTATGAAGAAAGCAAGAAATCACTTATAAGGCTTTTGTTCGTAAATACTTGTGACCACAGAAATTCGGGAGTTCCTCTCACTCTCACTTGGAAGCACCTCATTATCAAAAGTGTTGCTTATTGCAAGTGTCGCAAGCTTATCAACCAATCATGACTATTCTGCTTGAAGCTCGTTTTAGACTGTTGAAAGTATAGCTTTAGTGTTTTGATTGAAACTGACTAAAAAGGTTAACAGAAGAGTAGTCTTCTGTGTACAAAGAACGAAAACCTAGGGGTAATCATACCTCCAAAAGCCATGGCTTGAGATCTTCGTCTAACAAAATATCCACACCGAATAGTTCATGGCAAACAAATCTGAACAAAACTAATAAAAGTAAAAAAAACACAATAAACAATAACATCTACCAAATGAGAATTCACTGAGGTAAGGCTGAAAAAAGTGCGTCCTCAACAGAAAACAGACAAACCCGTGTTGGATATGTCGGACCATATGATCTCGGATAGGTTTTTCACACGCAATGAACGCTTTCACGACCACGTCTTCAATATGTTCACGGACAGCAGCAGAATCCACTCCCTTAAATTACTGCATCTGATATTATTAATATATCGCATTTAGTGAAAGAGTGCGCTGACGTCATTCTCGAAATACTTCCAAAGTTCGGTAAGTCGCCATTTCGGAACCGGTGAGTCCGCCACGCCATCCTGTTCCGCCAGTTTATTGATGCTGTAGTTGGTGAGGTGCATGTATTTATTGGAGACGGTTGATAAGGATCGTGAGTACCTGAATGGAGTGAATAAAATAGTTGGAGCACGGGAAAACACCGGCCAACACCGAGACTTTTAGTATCTCCTATCCAAGACCAGCAAGGCTTTTATAGTCCACACCAGACACTTAAAGACGCATTGTACGCTCAACTACAAGGCGCGTCCTCGAAGGCTAACGAGCCATCAGCTGTGGAAGCGGAGCGGTTTCCCCGTCCGAATATGCGAGGAATTGGGATCCACGTGGAACACGCAATTTCCTCCATACCCCGCCTAAAAGGCAACTTGCGGCGCAGACTCCCGATTTATACTAACAGCCGTCCGCGCGGCGCGTGTCGCGCGCAGCGCTCTTGGCACTTTGCCAAGTCGTGTAATTGCGCTTTGGAATACAATTAAAACGCAAACTCCTGATGCGGATAACATTTGAGGTGTTGCTCATGCTGCAAAATCCGAATCGAAGATGATGACGAGGGCCAGAACTCAAGAGCAACTGTGCTGCTTCTGCAATATCCCTCGGAGGCCGCGCATTCCCACAAACATGAATAAAAACGGCCTAAGCGTCCCACTCGTTAGTTCAAAGTATTTTTATAGCTTTGGAGCCGGCATCCCCCGAATGCAAAAAATTACACGGGATTCTAATTAATTTGCATTTCCGAGTTTTTATTTACATTTTTATTCACATCTACATTCGTTGTTCTTCAGTTCTAGCCTTTGTCATCTTCATCATCTTCGATTCGGACTTTGCAGCATGAGCAACACCTCAAATGTTATCCGCATCAGGAGTTTGCGTTTTAATTGTATTCCAAAGCGCAATTACAGACTTGGCAAAGTGCCAGGAGCGCTGCGCGCGACACGCGCCGCGCGGACGGCTGTTAGTATAAACGGGATCGGGAGTCTGCGCCGCAAGTTGCATTTTAGGCGGAGTATGTAGGAATTAGCTTGTCCCACGGCTCTGGATCCCCATTCATGCGCATGTTCACGGGGAAACCGCTTCGACAGCTGATGGCTCCTTAGCCCCGAGGATGCGCCTTGTAGTTGAGCGTACAATGTGTCTTTAAGAAAGGCTTCTTCAAAATGGTATGTGACGGAAAGCAATGTTTTGACGAAGGCAAACATTCAGCGTCTCATGGTCCTGAAGCACGTTCCGTGAACGTGTTCAAGCCCTCTGGTTCGGAAGTACATCGAATTATGTTTGCTCAGGGTGGAAGTGTAGGAAAGGAGTAGGAAGTATTGATGCACGTGGATAGTGCAGTTACCCAAGATGAACAACATCATACCAGTCGTCTATTCTGAAAGGCGGGAGCTTAGGCAGTCTGTTTGTAGCCCATAATCCTTTCTCACATCACCGGCCAGAGTGCCATCCTTTCCCACCATACTTTTGCTATGAGGAGTCTCCCAATTTACTGGGTGTAAACTACAAAAAGGAATATGAGCGTCTTCGTTTTGTAGGAATGGCAGCTGCGTACTCATCCCAGGGAAATCGTTCCTTTAATCGACGAAACGGCAAATCTAGCTTTAAGATTTAAGAGAGTGTGATTCTATACCCTTACTCGATCGATTCCATAAACTACTCGTACATGCCTAGACACAGAGCTAAAGTCCATACCTCAAAGATGTGGAGGGCGCGACTGCGTTCAGGTTAGTTCATTCAAACGTGACGTAGGATGCGTTTTTCATGGGATATACCATTTAAAATGAATGCGATTTTGTGTGGGGGTAGGCAACGACATGACCGCAACTGTTCCCAGATAGCCCACCAAAAGCATAGCCGTAGCCACTTTCAAGGGAAGGCGTAGCCGCGCCCTCCTCAGCTCCGGGATGTGGAGGTACATGAAAAGAGGAACACTCGGACTGGATTAGTTGCTGATTAATTTTCAGTGTAGGAGCACCAGTCAAGATGAGATCACAGGAGTGGGCCCAGGGGACCGAAATACACCACTACTGGGGACGGGAGGGAGAGGAGCAAAAAAGGCACTTCGGCCGAGTCACATATCAGCAAAGTTTTCGCAGCCCAGACAGAAGACGTGGATACGAGTACCAGGGCGGAAGATACCCAAGATGTTCCTCGATAAGCAGGAGCAGGCTCTCGTCCACCTTCATGTACACCAAAATATGAAGCCATCTCCAATTGCAGCCGGACTGGAGAAGGCCTATGGAATTCACGTCACCTCCAAACAGCTGCGAAACTTCTTGTATGGAGTCACCCATGGACAGCTACCTGGAGACCAGCACTCTTGATCTGGAAGACCTCCAACATCGAGCAGCTCCGACAACGTCGCTACGGTCCAGGATATCATCTTCACTGCAGTCGCCAAGGCGCGGGTTGATGGTATGGACCGGAAGTTCCTGGAATGTGAAGACCGATATTTTCTTCGTGGACCCCGGACTGAAAGTGAACGCTGACGGTTACATCGACAACTCGTGGAGAATATCCTGCCTTCATGTCGTCGCCTGTACCATCTTGGAAACTTCGTACTGCTACAGGATTGGGTGCCAGCACATGGAATCGAAGGGCGTTGAGAACCTGAAGAAGACGGAATATCCAAGTGTGTCACCTGACCTAAACCCCTCAATTACCGGGTTCGGGCGGAGCTCAACAGGGTGGTCTACAGTGGCGGAGAAATCAACGATCTCGCTGAACTCAGGCACCGAATCACGGTCGCGTGGCAGAATCTCTCGATGGCGCTCGTCCAGGTGTGGCGGAGTATCGTGATAGTGTACAATATGCTGTTGAATATGATGGTGGAAATGTCCAGTCAGAATTAATCAAGTATAACTTATATCGCCTTGAAAGTAGAGGAAGAAATGGTTTTTCCCCTCTCCCCTGTAGTTGTACTTCATAGCGCTAGCACCAGACTTGCAACCCCCTCTCATCCATCTTTTTATTACTACAATTTTTTTTACATAATTGGCCAGTATTGTACAAAATCGTGAACTGAATTTCTCCTCCGCGTCACCCACACCTTCTTTTTTGGGGAAGAAATCAGGTTAAAGCGGGCTAGGATGATGAATTAGAAAGAACAGTACTCACGGAACACTTGCGAATCGCACCAGTCCTTCCTCGTAGATGTAGATACGCAAAGGTTCCAACGACGGAACATACACATAGAGGCGGAGGTCGAACTTTGCTCCGTTTATCGTCAACGGTCGATCCAGATAGCTAAACAACGTGCATTCCAGTTAACTGGAGAGAAGTGAATTTCGCTATCTATAACTGAACCACAAAAAACATACTGTTGCGCCACAAGTTGGGTTTTTTCTGGTATGTCTTTGATTTTCCGCGTAACGCTTATCCCGGTACCTCTAGCGCTAGCCGGCTGAAAGTGTTTGCATAAAAAGTACGTACTTGACGGAAAGCTTCAAGGGAAGAAAACTGTGAATAATGTTCACAATGGAAAAAAATCAAAAAAAACCTGGATATAACACAAATGTGGAAGCGCAGGAGATACAACGAATAAAACCAGAGATTAAGGACAAACCGCCAGGGTACAGCATCGTGATGTGTGAGGTGGTAGTTTAGGTACGACCCTCCCCCCTTCCCCAAACACCTACCTATCTTCCTACAGATTTCCCCCAGTTTGCACCATTTTCCATTTTTTCACCCTAAAATTTTGCTGTCGGGAGGGGGGGGGATAGATGGGAACTCACAAGTAGTAAATCGCAAAGTTCCCTTTATGATTCTTTTTTCAGTTTCCA